TTAGTACCTGCCACGCAACGCGTACTTTAAGGATCGTAGGCTTCGTTATGCTGCAGCAGGGCCCTCTTGACTACGGGGGAGGTTCTGATTCATGATTTTTCTTTGAAGAGATGTTAAAGCACTTATATACTGCACGCTATTGTCCGATTTATTGCACCTATTAATAATGAATGCAGCTTCGAATTATCAGGTAGGATTGGTTTTTGGTATTCAATAACCGTTATTTAGGTATTCTATAATTCTGTGATTAAATAAGAAGGCCAATTAATAGCTATTTATTTAATTATTAGTCATTTTATCCGTCATTTATTAGTTTTTAATAGCTAATATTGTTTGTTTACTGTTTCGGGGAATAAGTCACTTAGCGGTTGCTGGCGTTTCACTAGACATTTGATAGCAAATATTTTACGACACCGTTTTTCAAAAGCTGTGCTGTTCCGTTAACTGAATAGCCCACTTAAGCATCATGCTTCCTATTTATGATTATCTCAATTTTTAATTTACATGCCGTATTAGTGGCCGTTTTCTTAACGCATAAAAACCCTATATTAGCACCACTCCCGTTTTACACGAGATACAACAAATTTAAGGCACCCAAAATAGTTACCTGTTCTGTTCGAAGGTGAAGATCTTCAGATCCCTCTTGGATATTTTGCGGAGGTAAGAATCAGTGTCGCGTTGCGTATTAAACGAGTTCATAAGCACCAGAGGCACCTCGATCCCATAGCGCGAATTTAACGTCTGAAAGGGGAATAGCAGGAGTCATGGTTTGAAAACTGAGGAAAGGACTGCGCGGAGAAATCAAAGGCAGACCTGCTTCCAATGAATGAAGGAGGTAGAATACTGTTGCAGATTTGGCTAATTACTCAGAGCAAAGAACGTCTGCACAAAATACATATTGTATCATAGCTCACCGAGTTGTTTGCTGCCAAGCATCTGCTTGATGCATCAGAAACTGCGTGCGCAGTTACTGAAGTCGATATACTCCGACCGCAGACAGGAAAGGGCTCTTGGTAATCGAGCGGTCAACTCAAACAAGTTTCATGGAGGTGATGCTTCAATGAGTTCTTTATAAAAAGTAAGATGCTTAAAAATTGACATTTTGAAAATCCAGTCTAAGATGTTTTCAGTACTTTAAGATGCCGAAACACTTTTTTGTCCCTTCCAGAACATTTGGCCAAATGTAACGAGCAGTGTCCCCGGACATGAACTCTTTCAAAATTTGCGAGCCTCTACCATAAATAGCGAGGGTTTCACTGTCTTCCGCGACCCTCTATCATTTAATACGTGCATTTGACTATAAGAGTGGAAATATAATCGGAATTGAATTAGAAATATAGAAATAGACCAACTGACGTGCTTGGCAGGCCAGTTTTTCCATAAAATACTTTACGGTTCACATACGACTGTTCTGGACGAAGACACGAATTTTGAAGTGCTACCTTGGATTTTCTGAAATATTTCAATCCCGTGACGTGTGACCAGCAAAGATCGAAAACGCAGTATAAGCCATTTTCCATTTTTCTAGTGGTCATCGCCAACAACACTTCAAAGCTAGGTGCTAGCAAGCACCATAAGTCCAACGACAAGTTCACCCACATAGCAGACTGGTCGTCTGTCAGGTAAGGTAAGGAAATGGTTGCTAAGCGTAAGTAACTTCAATCAAAGGAAAGAATTGGGACATCCATGTCTGCCTTCTAAACGGACCGCGCGGTAGATGCGCTGGGCCAACTCGACAGGCAGATCAGGGCATGGCAGGCGTTTTTCGGGGTATACTCTCATGAAAAATGCCGAACATTGGGGACGCTGGTGGTACGCGTAGGTGCAGGCTCACGCCGCACCAGTCACCCTTAAGTACTTGTACTTGTTGCGGCTGCGATCATGACTGATCTTGCCGGCCTCGATGATGTCCCGCATGGTGCTTCGACACGCGTGACGATCTGTGGGAGCAGACCAGGACAGTTTGATCCATCCTCTTCGCCAGCACCGGAAACCGAATACCGAAGGTCCAAGAACCACTTCCATGACTCGACGAACTTAGTCGAACCAGATTTTTAGCTGGCCCTCGCTTTGAAGTTTTAAATTAGGTAACGGTTTCGGGTTGAGGGCAGTAACATTGAGCTCATGAAGTCGACGATGAAGAACTTGTCCAAACCACCTCAGTCGTCTTTTTTGGGTGGCCTGGGATATTCTTGCGATGTTGTCGCAGCGAGTGCGGACTGTCTCATTTGAGACGAACTCGATGTACTTCCCTCGGGGGATGGTCCTCAAGCAGTAGTGGCCAAAGACCTCCAGTTTCCGTTAATCTTCTACGCGTATAGCCCAACATTCACGGTCGTATGGCAGAACAGACCGCAAAGACGCACGGTACAAGCCGACCTCCGTGGCAATATCGCGTTAGGTCCATAGACAGTTTCGAAGACTGGAAAAAAACTCGTCGAACTGCGTCAATTCTGAAGACAATGCCATCCTTAATCTGCCCATTCGGCAGCAACCTCACTCCGGGGTATTTGAAACTGTCTACTTCTTTAAGCTGATAGCCATTAATCTCAAGAGGTACCTTCTATTGGGCAGAGACGCAGCATGAGAACACTTTGGTCTTTCCAGCGTTTATGGAAAAACCGACCATTTTAACGACCTCGTTTACCCATTACATCGTAGACTGTAGATCGCCAAAACTTGAAGATAGTAAAGCGATATCCTCGGCATAATTGAGATCAGTCAACCTGTGTCTGGGTGTATACTCAGTACCGTCACATTCACGTAGGGCCTTCGCGTGGTCTTTTTGGCGCTCCAACTCCGTGGGATGTGCGTCAAGCGTAACGGTTCCAGCCGCGCCTGACACCTGCATTCAGTCCCAACTCTGGGTTTCTTGACTTTGTCTTAACAGAGAACACAGGCGCCTGGGGTTGGGCGAGATTGTGGTAGGCGTAAAGTGAGTCTACTATCACTTAAAAGGAATCCACATGTAAGTCACCATTCCCGCAGCACAATGCTGTTGGGCCCACGGTGAACATCGGGATCGATGGTCAAACTGCCGGAGCATTCATGTTTTTCCAATACTACCGAAACGTTTATTGTACGTTGTGGGAAGACCCACGTGGGGGATGCGCCAAATCAATATAAGGGGCCCGTTCAGAGGATGGTAGACGGTATTGGCAACGCGCATTCATAGCAAATGCCACACATAGGGGATGTGATGACAGGTCTAAGCGCAGGCTCACGCCACGCCAGCATCCAATCACGCCTCCATTTTTATTGACTCTGTCTTGGGTGCGGTTTATGCTGTGCATGCCCGCCTCACTTTACACGAATGAACGCGCAATTAATCGTCCCTGCGGCTACCAGGTTCTGGTGCACGTGATGAACATGATCGGAATCGATATTCGAACTGTCAATAGGGGGAGAAGGAGGAAAATAGAGAAGATTGATTCCCTCCTAAACAAATAGAAGAAACAAGTCCTTCATTTAGGACTGCGCTCGATGTACACTCAGTGGCTTACCAGAGCCAGCAAGCCTCACAAATGTACTTATAATGTCACCCATCGATTGTGACAATTTGCACATTG